ATATTTAAATATACAAAGAAATTATTTATAAATTTTAAAATATACATTAATATTTAATTTCTTTATTAATTATAACTGTTAAAATATAGTTTATGTTGTTTTGGTGTTGTTGTTGTTATTAAAATAATTAATTTTAGAAAAATTATAGGATTTCTATTGATAATTCTACATAAATAAATGAAAGTATATTATCAATAGAAAGGATATGTTATAAAGGAAAGAAAATATTTAAATTTAAAGTTAAGCTTTTATTATAATTATTACTAAAATAATTCTAATCTATAAATAAAAGATTTGATAAGATTTCTTTAGTTTTTAATCACAAAATACATCATACATCAAAATAAATTTTGAGAATCTTGTTCATCTGGGAGTTGTTACACATATCTTTATTAAAACTCTGCAACTCTTCCACTCTTGAAATTCCTGATATTTGGATAACACTTTAAAAATTAAGGTTTTAAGTTTTTATAATCTAGATTTATTTTCGTTTTAACTGAATTTAAACTTAATTTTACTTAGCCTTATCTTAGCTATCCATTTTCATATTTTATTTATTTCTTATTCACATTTTATATTTCAATAACACTTTCTGTATTTGTTTTAAATTTAAATCAAAATCTCTATCCCACACATTCAGAAACTAACACATTTAGGTTAAAAATGTTCTCATGTTCACATATGTTTTAAATATGTTAGAATTAGAACAATTCCAATGTATTTATTATCAATGTTTATACAATACTCTTAGCATATAATTAATTAATTTTATTACAGCAATAGTCTAATTTATATTTTAAGTTGATCATACATTTCTAATAATATTTTTAAACATTCTTGTTTGTTTTACATTTAGCTATAACAGTTTAATTACAGAATAATAATATGATGATCTATATATTATTATTGTTGTACATGTGGGGCCTGTAGACCAAATATACTCTGCCCTGAAAGGTCCATTGAGCACCCAAGAAAGATAGCTTCAGAAGTCTGACCTCTTTATAAAATAGACATCAGACTTCTAAAGGAAAGCTGAGAGATTTCACCAGGGCTCGACAAAATAGAACCCAGATGGACAAGACTATCTGAGCAGAGATCTGTACATTCAGAAATGAGGTGCTGTAGAGGAAAGTTTTAGTCAGCACAGATGTATACAAAAGTGACCAAAGCCGGTTGTAACACCAACCAAAAAGTGAATGTGATTCCTGTTAAAAAACAGAAAATCTTTAGTTTTCCCAGAGAGCAGGCTAGGTAAAAATGCCTTGTTCTAATTTAANTAAAAAATAATTTTTAATGATACAATAGTCTTCGTTAGGCTTAACATCGACGAAAATTCAACACGAAGTGACACGCAACGGAGAAAAATTTCAATATGGGATAAATTAATATATTTTTTCGTACATAATTGGTTATCCGAACAACCCCAGTCCCCAATTGATTCGGATAAATGATGCTCTACTGTACTTGTATTTAATTCATCAAACAAATAAATTTAATGCCAAAAGACAGTACAGTTTTTTACATATGGGATTTACTCCTCACAACAATCCTAAAATCAGTACAGCATTGATACAATGCCCTGGAGCTAGTGCATTTTATGTTCTGCTATTCTCTTCCATTGTCTTTGACAGAGCCATCTCTATCCGAAAGATGAGTGCCCATGGGTATCCCAGTCTAATATGTGAGCTAGTAATGAGGAAGCTTGAATTCAACTTTATACCTAAATATATCAACAACATATTATATTATGTATATATGGATGATATCCTTATCATTTGGAAAGTTAAATTAAATGCTAATGCATTTCTTTATCATTAACAATAATTCTTATTGTCTTATCTTTAATTGAACAAGAAAGCATGTCATCAGCTTACTTCCTGGATATACAAGTCATGGTAAGTGATGGAACCTTAAAAACTGAGATATAATTTCACAATAAAAGTAGAAAATATCTGTCTGTTTCAAGTAACCCCTTCTTCATCATTTGCATAAAACACAGAATGTTTTAATTTTTTATCCTCAAAAGACACACTGCAAAAATAACTAAAAGTATCTTCATACTATTGAATCCTCAGAACTGAGGGACAGCATTCATAAAAATGTAGCCATATGTAGACCTGAGAGTTTGTAATATCTTGACTGATAAATGTTTCATAAAGTGTTGATGTAGACCAGTGTTTTTCAACCTGTGGGTCACGACCCCCTTGGGGGTCACAGGTAGAAGAAAAAGACAAGTGTTTGTAAGTCCTACACTACATTAAAAAAACTACAATTTCAGCGAGAATTACAGCCCACCCCAGAAAATGATAGCGGAAAAAGTGTTGAGCTGATTTGCAAATAGAAATAAAAAATAGAAAAGTGGAAGCTGAAAATTCAGATCCTAAAAAAAAAAAAAAAACAGGTCAACAGTTCCCTGTGCCTAATGTTATAATTAAAGGAAGTTTCATACTTTGTGTGTTAAATTATTGTTGATTCTTCTGAAACTTTCATTTTAATCAACAATAATTTGTCTGAACAGAAAGAAAATTAAATACATAATTTTTAAAGTCACTGATATAGTTGTAATATGGCCCTAGGGGGGTCGCCAGAATTTTTTAACTTGTAAAGGGGTCGCGCGACGTATTCAAGAAGGTTGAAAAACACTGATGTAGACCAGCCTTAAGGAAGATGTGGACATCTTCCAGACATTAGGAGTGTTTGTAATTCCTTTGAGGACAGGCATTTTGGAATGTACAGCATCTACATATGATATACTTCTTGCCTTCTAGTTGTACAAGTCAAGGAACATCAATATAATTCTAACAAACTCAACTTCTTTTTCATCATTTACCATGCAACCATGTCATATAAAAACACAAAACTTGTAAATGAAATTCCAGTATAGTTTAATGCAGATAGAATTTTTCAATCTACTTAGATCTTCTTCAGACTAATGTGTTCCAAAATGGAATGTGAGGAAAGGAACATTTTAAAATTATTTGAAAATGCCCAAACACAAATAATGCACAAGTGTACATAATGTGATACAAAATAACAAATTCTGTAACATGCAACCATGTAGTCATTTGGAAGAATGCTGTTTTAGTTAGGAGAATGCACAACCCAGCTCTAGCCAAATTCTTGATATATATAAACAGTGTTAAAAGTCTGCATAAACCACAGGACATCTATGAACATGGCATCTTCTATACTGCTAGATTATCTTACTGTCATTATTCTACAGTACATCACACTATAATATATTTGTATAACCTTGATGTTTCATTATTTTTTAGGTTATTATTAATACAATTTTAAATGTTATTTTCATGATTATTCATTTATTTTAATGATGTCATTTTGTAATATTGACATTGTCAAATGGAATGTGTATGCTCAAATTATTTTGAACTATCATTCTGGAATTCCTTTATGTGTAGTTAAAACCTGAAGGTGGCTTGTTAAAGTAGCCAAAAACATTTGTTTTTCAAAATTAAATGCTGAATTTCAAAGTTTATTCATTTATTTATTTATTTTTTTTTCTGATCAGATTGTCCAGTTGGATATTCTTTTTTGCTTTACATATCCCCTTATTATTATTATTGAAATTTTATTACTTATTAAATTTCTATTGATTTAATTGCTTGTGCATTTATTGTTTTTAATACAGTCATAAGTTATTGTAAATTTGGTTGCAAAGAACATACAAATTCTTTCTTTTCTTTTACATTAAATATTAATATCTTGACTAATGTCTTTCAGATGTACTAATAAATACGAATTTTCCAAATACTTTACTGAATCACACTCAATGCTAATAATCTGATCTTACTCATTTTGCGAAATTGAACAGGGCTGTAAAAACTTTATTTTTACTGTCTGTATGTTCTTATTGAGTGAAGAAATACATAATTAATTTTTTTGTTATTATTTTTACTAATATTTGTTAATATATAAAACATGCTACATATATGAATTCAATTCATGAGTTTGGTAAAAATTAATCTTATTTAGGTATAGAATTTTTCAGTTTGGAAATTATTGCAAATTTTTATTTTATAATACATACAAAATATCTCTCTCTTTACACGGGATGTAACATAACTCCATGCCAATATTTTAGGGATAGATTCTAGATCAAAAATAAGCTTAAAATACTGTATAAATATTTTTGAAATGCTACTTCATTTTTGAGATCTGGCCTGTAAAAAATGATATTGGAAACCAATTTTAAACTTTCTGCCAAAATGATAGTTGTTGTTTTGAATATATGGAAATTGAATTGCTCAGAATTTTCTCTGTTGACTTGGTGAATATTTTGAGTTCTTGTAAAGTATTCTGTTTAATTTTGTAAAATACAAAATGTTATTCAAAGTAAATTTACATTAAAAAACATGCTTTTTCAACTATTTTTTTAGTGTAAAGTGGATAAGTCTTTTTTTCACATTTATTATAGCCAGGTCTACTTGGGCAAAATTTACTTGTAGTTACCTCAAACAATTGACAAAATCATTAAAAAAATAGAAAATTTAAACAATTAATAATGCTAATGTTGGTACTCTGGTGAGAAATTTGAAAATAACTTTCTTTTTTGGCAGATCTCAAAAACAAAGCAGATTTTGGAAGAAGTTTATAGAGGATTTTAAGCTTATTTTTTGACCACAGAATCTATCTGTAAAATATTGGCATGGTGTTTCATTACACTCTGTACACATAGTATATGTACTTTGTTTCACAGAATGAAATATACAGTACATATAAAATGTTTCATTTTGTTTAAAAATAAAATTAGTCACAGTATTTAATAATAATCTTGTATTTTGTTATTTAATTATAATAAATGTATGAAATAATTTTATGGGAGATTGATAAAAAAAATAGTATAAATAATGGAATATAAATTTAAATTTTATTTTTAAAAATGTTTTTATATAATATAGAATAAAATAAAATAAAACTTTTTTTAATGAANATTTTATTAAAAGAGAAATTTTAATAAATGAATTCGAAAATTACTATAGGGAATGTTACTACCAAATGCTAGTTCAGGAAATGTTGCTATTCCTCTTGCAAATGGTAACATCTTAAAGGTACCCGTGGAAAAATTTAAAGGAGAAAATGAATCCGGTGACCAGTCGGCCATTAACATATCAGAACAACTAGCACAAACTGGACTTTGGCAAAGTATTGATCAGCAAGTTCAGAAGACACCACAACTCCAGCCAAAATCAGTCTTTGTTAATGCTGTCAGGTGAGGAATGTTGAAAAGCTTGCTTTTTTAATTACATATTTTAATTTTAATTGATGAAGAATTCTTAATTATTATTTTTTAAAATTTTAATTAACAAACTTAGTTTATTTTCAAAGTAAATTATTGTTCTCAAAAGAGATTAATTTTGGATTTTGATAAGTTTTTATATCAGATTACTTGAAGAAATGACTTTGGTACTCTAGATACTAAATAGTATTTGGAACTTTACAATAGTAAAAAGTAAACTTAATTATAACGACATTAAATTTTAAATAAGAAATTTTATAATTCCTGTATTAAATCCAATGTTCACACAAATTTTTTTCTATGAAATCTTAATACACTAAAAATGTAATAAAGCCAAAATAGTCTCATCTGGTTGCTATATATTATTTTCTGTGGCTAAGCTTTAAGTAAATGCACATTAATTTGCTGAAGTTTAGTTGACTTTGCTTTTCTGTTTGTTTAACTAGAATTTCTTTTCCTGTTTGGTCATCAATGGACATTAAGAACTAATTGATAATGTGAAACCAAATATTGTTTGTTAGAAACCTGTTTATTTAAAACAGATGATTTCTTATTTCTCTTAATGTTATTTTATCTATTGTAATATATATATTAATAAGTATATATTTGCTAATACATGCACATTTGTAGATATTTACAAATGTATTTAACACATTAACAATATTCAAAGTTAAATACATCTTTGTTGATTTAAAACAAGTTAATTAATTACAGGGTGGAAAGAGTGAAAAAAAATTATTTAATTAAGATTTTAAATTTCAAATTATACATGATACAAAAGATAGGATTCTAACATACAAAATTTTTCATTTAACATAAATATGTATTAAATATATGATTTTTTATTTATAAAATGAAAAATATTTTCACTATGATGATGATTATAAATTACTAAAAGCTAACTGTTTTATAAACAAAGCTAATTACTACAAAGCGTGTGGAATAATTTGTATATTAACTCTCGAATGTAGTTTCTCCACCCATCTACTGTCCACTTCATTGTATTGCGCTGCATCTACGTACTCCTGTAGCCCTTTTTAGTATGTCTCTCTTTTCATGATGACCATGACCTTGGATTTATCCACTCTGATAAATTTTAATGATTAACTAACTATAGTATATTTAATAAAAACCTTTCAAAGATGTAAAAAGTTTGGTTTACGCTTCTTTAAATATAAATCTCAATACAAAATGTAAGTATAAATGATTAGATGAAAAATTATTGATTATAATTAATAACTTTTAAATACAATAATTGTAATAATTACATAAAAATGCATATAAAAAATATTAATCAACAACAATTTAAATGTAAAAGTTTTCACATCAAAGTGCGATTATTAGTATTTTTATTAGACTATCTATTTATAATTGCTCAACCTATACAATAAATTTGTTTATTTAAAATATACTAACTTATCTGAAAGTCACTTGATCAGAACCAGAAACATTAATTAAAGTAGTTAGAGTAGTATTTATATAAAATTATTTTAATCTAAAGTAGTGGCTTGATTAATATTATATTGTATATTAATGAGGGGGATAGTCATGATTAAATGCAATATTTATTTTTATTCAGTAAATATAAATTAATTTGTGTGATAAAAAACTAATATAAAGAAATATTTATTACCATAATTTTGTAATAAGGGTGTATAACGTATTTTAAGGAATGTACTAATAATCTGATCTGTCATAAATAAATTATAATAAAATGTATGTAGGCAAAAACAAAATTATACTTACTAACCTGAGGTATTACTTTTTTGCATAATTATATTAATTAATTACTTTTTGCTTTTAATAAATAAGGATGATATTTATTTTATCCTCATTATAGCAGAGTTTCAATAATTTATTGACCTAGATTGTTTTGAAATAATTTATAATAATATCTTATAGTGTACATGTGTATTTCAATAAAATAGGTTGTTTTTACAGCATTAAGTCCATTATATTCAGTAGCCTTAATCTATCATTAATGATTTTGTTAAAATATAATTAATAAAAAAACATCATCATTTTGATAATTTTTTTTATGATTAATAAGAATTATATAAAATATATTATAACAATATAGACAAGATTCTAAATAAAATACAATGTCTATTGATGATCATAACAAAGCATGCTCTTAAAGAATTGGCACATGCTAGATCACCAGTAATATAGTTGGACTTTAGTAGCACATGCTACAGCAACTCCTAAACCAATCTTATTTCCTTTTTTTCTCCACATTGCATTCCTTTGTTTTCTCATCTGCCCTGCAAAAAAAAGCCAGGTAGGTATTTTGAAATTACTTGCTTCTGCATCATACTAAATATTTTATGTATTGTTTATACGACAGATTATAATTTATTTTATAATTACAGCAGGAAGAAGAAGAGGGGGAGAGCAAAGAAAGATGCAAAGAATGAAGAAGAACGTAGACGATTGTCTACCATGGCAGAAGAAGATGATGAGGATGACTGTGGAATAACCATCAAGATTGATGCTCCCACTCCGTGCCCTTCAAACGGTCCCTCCCTGCACAATTCCCCAACAGATAAGCACAACGAGACTTCTGTTTGATCAATGTATTAATTAGAAAAAAATTAGTTCAATTCATAATATCTAAATGATTAAAATAGAATTTGTATTGCCTTACTTACATATCTATTTAATCATTGAAGTGAGTGAGATGCAGTACAATTCTGGAAGAGAAATAAGGTAGCTATTTGTAATGACAATGTGAAGAACATTTAATACATTACCACTAATTATATGAAACATTCAAACATAGAATTAAATAGATCTGTAAATAGCATCATCTGAATGTCATTAGGATACATGAACTTGCAAAATGGTGAAAATATTTGTATTAGCACATCGGGAAAACTGCTGTCAAAAGTTGCATCTTACGAATTGCAATTGACAAACTTGAAAAAACCAAAGCTGTCGATTCATATGTTGTCACGAACATTTTAGTATTAATCGGCAAACAGTCGGACAGTGACGAAAATAATAATTTCTGACTGTTAGTGCACCTTGCTTTGGGAGTGACGGTTGGTGATGGAAGCTAACTGCTTTACATAATAGGTTTCTGATGCCTTTATTTCAATTTTTGTTTATGAAATAATTTGTGGGTTACAATTTATAAAGAAACTGTAGTAAAACATTGCTAGTCTCTTAAGTGTTTGTTGGTGTAATTAGAAACATCTATCTATATTTGTCACTATCAAGAATTACTGGAAATAGAGAATTAAAAAGCAAAGTAGTTTGTTGTATCAAATAGATAGATGCCTTTCTTTTCCTGTGATGGGTGGTTTCCAGTTTGTTCTGAAATTATTTCAGATAGCTAGAACATCACCATTTTATTTTTAATCATGAGGAAGAAGAATAAAATGAAATGTGTAAATTTTTAATATAGTTTAATTTCAAAAACTTTGGAAATTATTCTGTGTGCCTGGCAATAGATGAATCTTTTATTTCATTTAAAGTGATACATGTATTCAAGATATTGCAATGCAGGGTTTCCCAAGTTAAATTCACAGAATCCTGGGGTCCACAGAATCTCAATTTTTATTCTGCAGACATTCCAGGATTCTAAAAAGTAAAAACTAAAGTTCTGTGAGAAAATTTCCATAAGTAAAAAATGATAATGTGATCCTTTTTTTTTTGCAGAAAAATTTTCTGAAATTCTGCAAAAATTTTATTTAAATATAATGATCTGTTGCCAAATTAAATTGGGAAACACTGCTGTAATGAGAAGCAATTGTTTTTTAGGGTACAGAAAGACAATATGCAAGATGTGTATCAAACTTAAGTTTATGCATATTTATAGTTCACTCAGGCTTTTTATTACTTTTTTAATTTAAATATTAAAATTAGTGGCAGCATTTCTACAAAACCAGAATTTAAATTTGAATGATTATTAGGAGAAGATAAAGATAATGAAATGCCAATCAGGATATATCTAATACACAATTGCCCTGCCAGAAACGTATGTTATAGTTAAATTTATTAAAGACGAATTTTTTTTAATATCATATTTAAGTACTCGAATAGTTTGCTTTTATGATTCTACTTTAAATCGGTGATATCTTTGACAGTGCCAAAATTATCTCGTCCCAGAAAATCAAAGGAAACTGCAGACACAATCATCAGATCACTGGTATGCTATATGCATAAATTTAAAGAAATCTATTTCAATTATAATATAATGATTGTATGTAGGAGATAGGAGAAATGTTTTAATATTTTCTTTCTTCTTTCATAATTTTTGCAAGCAATAGTCTTCATATCATTCACAAGTAAAAGATTTTTAGCAATAAGTCACAATGATAGCAGGTAGTTTATATGGGTGTATAATACTTCTATGTTAATCAAAACCAATGTAAAAATTATGTACTTGTACTCTATTCTATATCCATCTTAACCTATCTCCCACTGGCAGGGCTGTAAAAATTTAAAAAAGAAAAAATTATTTATTAAAAATATTTAAGTGCTGATACTGTTTACTGTTTTATTATAATTAATTTACACTATCTCTTGTTTTAAAAAAAACTGATAAACCACATTTTAATACACAATTAGTATTGTAATGAACACCGAATTCAAGATAAGCACTGCATATTTTTATACATAAAACCAGAGCCGGCCCTACCATAGGGTGAACGGAGCAGCCGCTCCAGGCGCTAAGTTCTAGGGGGTGCCTCAGTGGTAAAGAAAATTAAAGGGTATAAATTAGGGGCAACCAAGGGGACGCCATAATAGGATCTTGCTCCATCCTAAAACTTGCGTCGGGCTGCCACTGCATAAAACATTTCATTAATTCCATGGAATTTAAATACATTTGATATTGCCAAATGTAGAGTTCAATTCAGGAGTGAACGATTTGAAAATTAAGAAAGTAACACGTTTATTATAGAATACCACAGCTCATCAAAAACCCCGAATTTTTCAGAAACTTTTACATTTACATCAAAAATATGAAGTTGGGAGAATTATGGATAATTCATGAAAATTTCTACCGATGGAAATTTTTCCAATAAATGCATATTAATAAAATTTATATTTGATTCTTCCAGGTATAATCCATTCTATTTACTTATTAAATTTTTGCATAAAAATAAATTGGTTACGTTGAGAATTTTTGTAATTTTGAGCTGTCAAATTAAAATCCACCACTTTAAAATTGTGATAAAATAAAGTCCATATATAAAACGTCACAAAACATGTCGGAGATGAACAAATCTCAGTATATTTCAATGGAAGTTAATATTGGAATCTAAGCATGTCCGAGCATCGTGAACACGTGGTGTCCATCAGGGGGCGATCGGCAAGGGACGGTAAAAGTAGAGCTAGACTTAGTAATTTGCCGAGACCCATAGCGCCTACACGCGATACCCGTCCCGCGTTGTTCTCGAATATTTTCGTGTCGACCTCGAATATATTCATTTCGGCATCGGAACGTTTTTGATTGGCAAGTGCCAAATCCGACAGAGGGCGCTCTTTTTGAGCCAAGATGGCTGACGAAACGAGTAAGGAGCCGACCACGTCGTCACCGATAGAAACTGAATCGGCTCAGGCACTGAACAAACACGTGATCGGTTCCTTACCCGTTTCGGCAGCCATCTTGGCTCAAAAACAGCGCCCTCTGTCGGATTTGGCGCTTGCCAATACTAGATGTCGCTACGCGTCATAATTTTTATATTAAAACGAACTTTAGAGATATTTTTATATTTATTAATATATCTATTTTGTTTGTGAAAAATAAAAAGATAATTTCGGATGATAAAATAGTCACGATTATTTAAAAAAAAAAAAAGTAATTTTCATTAGGCTTAACATCGACGAAAATTCAACATGGCGTCAAGAATTTCAACACGGAATAGGTTAACTGCGTTATCTGAGGAATTTAAACATAGAAAAATAAAAACTGTTGCTCATTGAAAATCCCTGGCTCTTGGACCTGGCAGTAATAGAACTGGCTGATATATTTGCACGTAATTACGCAGAGCTATTTGACGAATTTATTGAAACGAAGAACAATAACACGGCCGGAAGCTATTTTTAAAGAAAAGAGAGCGGAAAATAATTACGTTGACTTCTGGAAAGTAGTGCCCGAACAATATAACACATAGATACATTGTTCTCATCGACGTATCTATGTGAAACGTCATACTCAAAAATGAAATACGCAAAGAACCGGCTTACCGATTCACACCTGAATGCCATTTTACGAGTAGCACGCAGCAGTTACAAGCCGGATATAAATGAAATTATGGAAAAATGTTCGCAATATCAACAGTCACACTAAATTTCTAGGGTAAGTGAGAAATTATGTCTTTTTATTATAATTGTTATGTTGCGGCCCGCGTGTAATAGCTATCGTGTGTATGTGGCCCGAGGAAAAAAAAAGGTTGAGTATGGGGGTAAGAAAGAATACGTTCTCAAACTAAATCATTTCGGGATTTGGAACATTTCGTCCCGTCCGGGAAAATTTTTCTCGGAACGCCCCAATTTATCCATTTCGATCCCAAACTGCTCCTGTATGTATTAAAAACAGTCAAATATAGAATTATAGGAGGAAGGTGTCGCGCAAAATGTCTCTCACGTATACACCATTTGTCCTAACGCGTGTATCATAATCTGTGTAGTGAGTAAGGGCGGTAGGGGCCAACCGGTCTTCGTTCTTCGAACACTGGGAGTTCGGTCGTGGGTTCGCGCCTCGCTCGGACGGGCTGGACACGTGGAGCTTTCCGGGTTTTCTCCACGTCTGTATCGCCTAAATAGGGGTCTGTTTCCCTTAAATAAGACCTCCCGGAAGGCATCCTCCTAGGCAGATCGCCCCAGTGTTGCGTTGCCATAACAAATTATGTAGTGAGTGCTATGCGATGGCTTCAAAATTATTAAAAATTTCGTGCAATCATCGACGATGAAGTTAGGTCGGGCCATAGTCTAACACTTATTTATGTTTTACTGTGTTCCGCCCTACGAGACTGAGGATCTTTATTTTTAATTGTGTCCATCGTGAGTTCGGCCATGTCCACAATGAAAGCGGCCGGGTTTCCAACTGAAATTTAGTTGAATATGTAAGTCAAGCAAGAACAATTAGTTCAACAAATAATAAAAAGTGTTCAATAATTGATAATTTAATAAAATAAGTGAATAATTCTTATTAAACTAATCTGTCAGAGCAGCTAATCCATGAAATTTTACCACATTGCATCTCACAATGTCCCAGTTTCTGGATTTGAACTTATGGCAAATCTGCTTCATATCGAATTTTTATGTCTGCTATTTCTAATGCACGAAATACTTTTTTGTGCGTACGCAAAGTGAAGTATTTTTACTTCTATTTAGAGGACAATGTCTCCTCCTGACGACGGATAGAAATTTTTTATTACCTTTCCTATTCTCCAAAAAATCTTTGTTAAGAGGACGATTCAATTACATGTTTGCTATGAATACTATTTAAAAAATACCATAATTATCTTCGGTGCCATCATTTCATGGATATATTTTTGTCCTTAAAATTGTCAAGCGAAGTTTTTATGGCTCCATTTTTAAATAGTACTCTGACATTCTACTCACCAAACATTTGTAAATTGGAAAACTACGTAGTGCAATCCGTAATGTCAGACGGCCGGATGGCCGAGCTGTTACGATGGTAGCCTACTACCATGGGGATCTAGGATCGAATTCCAACGGGTCGAAAACTTTTTCGGGATGGTCCGTTCGAGTACATCTGCCCCGTCCTCACCATTTGGCTGCACCATTTTGGGCCTGCCGACCCCATAATGGACGTGATGAAAAAGCCCTCTTAGTGCCCACAGGGCGGAAAAAGTAAAAAAAAAAGTCTCGGTTTTGCGTACCGTTCCAGGACAGGACTTTTCTAAATTAAATTAATCGTTAAATTCAGTATAAAAAAAAAAACACACAACGCTTCTGGTACCAAATTATACAGGGCGTATCGCGTTCACCTACCATTTTGAAACATATATCGCCTGTTCAATTATTGTTCATATTTATTGACAAAAATGATAACAGAAGAATACACGTCTGCCATGTTGTTACAACACAAATAACAATATTATTTCTTGAAAATAACTCCACTTAGAGCTCGGTCAGCATCTGCACCCACCGCAATATATGCAGATGCTGAGCACGTGTTTCCCGCGACCCTACAAGAATATCGCTCGGAAATCAATGTATACTTTGTTGTTTTAGCATCTGATTGTTTTTCTTTTGGATCGTCTGATCTGTGATTTTTCCTATGGCGATTTCTCAAAAATAGAATGTTTCAAACGCTCATCGGGTCTAAACACACCGAAGCAGGGAATTGTGGAGGAAATTAATGCCATATAAGCGGCTATACTGTTGCAAGTGATGGAAAACGTGTTCAGTTGAGTACGCCAGTGTATGAACCTAGATGGACGGCATCTACCAAGAATCTGTCTACTTTAAAAGATGGATAAGGATGATTGATCTGCTCGAATAATTGACGGTTTGTGTATTTTAAGGAATCGTAACAATTTTTCATACTGGTTCCCTATTCATTTCCATTGGTTTTTTAAAAACTTTTTATATTTTTATTTTATATTATCAAGGATCGTTTGTTTACGGAATGAAGAAACTAACTAAATTATTTTTTGTATTACAGTAGAGCGTCGATTATCCGAATCAATTGGGGACTGGGGTTATTCGGAAGATCGATGTTTCGGATAACCGATTATGTACGAAAAAATATATTAATTTATCCCATCTTGACATTTTTTCCCGTTGCGTGTCGCTTCGCGTCGAATTTTCGTCGATGTTAAGCCTAACGAAGACTATTGTATCGTTAAAAATTATTTTTTTATTTTGTACAAACAAAATAAATATATTGAAAAATATAAAACCAATAAAAAATTATACTTCAGAAGTTAATTTAGTATCAAAAACGTAAAATATTTGAGTAGCCCAAGACATAGCCAAAGATTGCAG